GGATACATGTGTTTTCTGTTGAACTGGGTTTGAGAACTTTTTTCTCAAGTGTTTTGAGTGAATTTAGTATTTATTTTTCCACAGTTAGCTTCAGAATGGTAGTTGCAGAGGAAAAGGCTCACTATTATGGAAAAAGATACGCTTCAGGATGGCCTCTCAAGTGTGGCTCAGTCCTGATTAGGAAAACCAGCTTTTAGCTGCTATAACTGCTACTAGAGATAGTATTGCAATCAATGTTTTAGCTGACATGCATTTCTGTTGTATTCCTTTCATCTGTCTGGTGGAAATTTGCCTTACTTTTATCTAATTGCTTGTCAGAATGGTCTATTAGGGATGCTACTTACATTGGAAAGGCCCCTTGGGTAAGAGCTAACCACACCAGCTCTGCCTTCTGCATTACTGTAGTTGTGAAAATTTGGAAAGAACAGCCATTTGGAGAAGACAATTTCAGGATCTATAAATGCAGCATATCACAAGTTACTTTGCACTTTGGTTGTGTCCTTTGTGTTGAATTTTTATTTTTTCGCTTTGGCTGTCTTTTTAATGTTCAGTTTACAAACTTAGTAGGGGAGTTGGAATGGAATTGGGAAAAATCTGAAGTCCAAATGTCACAGTTTTGTAAACAGAATAAATATGCTAATGAACAGCATCTGTATGAACTTGGGGTAGCAGTGTGCATATTTTCAAGTATTGTATTTCTCGTGAAGAGGTGTCTTTTATAAGGACAACTCTTTTGAAAGAGCTTTGAAACTGTGTACCATGACATGATACAAGATTTTGATATTTCTTTTAAGAAATAAGTTTTGGTGCAGTATTTGCCCCAAATTCTAGTCTTCAAGAGTCAGGACATTGACATCCTTAAAAAGATTTTCACAACACATACCCAGTTGTGGGAGAATCTCTTTTCCAAGTGCAGAGTCCTAAGCTTTGTGCAACCATAGGAGTGATGACAGTCAGAGGAGTGCTGTGAGAATGTTTTCAATTGCCTTTATCTTTTGGTGCTTCCTGCAGCACACTTTGGCTTAGGCAATGCCTGTGGTAAGAGGCGGTTAAATTGATGTAAAGACCAAGTTGATTTGACATGCTTTTTAACCAAGTGTTTATTAGTTGAAATAATTTTGGGTGTTTTTTGGCATAATTTGTGTTTGAGTGGGAACTTGACTCATTGTCAGAAGTCTGTGTATATTTGAGCATGTTAAGCTGACGTTACCAAATGGAACCGTGGGAGGCTTTTGGCTTGTGTTTATGGAGTATAAACCAAAGCTCTTACCTTGCTGCCTCAAGAGCCACAAAAATGTTAATATAAGTCAGAGATGCAAGAAAAAATGTATTCCATATAGTCTGTCTACTTGTCAGTACTAGCTTTTTCCTTGGGTTCCTTTCCACTATTTTGTTCCATCTAGTTTTAGGTATCACAAGGGATGAGACTTCCTCTGCATTCCTGTGGAAATTATTTTGCAGTCCTCATAAGACTTTGTGAAATTTTTCCCTCATTAATGTTTCCCGGTTCTTATATTTCCAGAGCAGAACCCACACCAAAACTGTCAGGGGTTGCTTTCTGGTTAGCTTTGCAAAATGATTCAGGCTTCCTTCTTGTCCCTGTCTGCTTTCGTTAACCGAGTGAACCAGTGATCATTCACGTGCCTCAAGCTGCAAGTGTTTTAGGAGAGGTATTGTTATACCTGCTGGTGAAGGGTGCTGTGAACATTTTAAATCAACCTGCATGTATCAGGTGAAGCAGTAGTAGCTGTTAGAGTTTCTTTTATTGTATTTTCTTGTGTTTCCCTCAGACTGGATTTTCTGCACAAAGTCTAGTGTCTCTTAAATCTTCCTAACTGGTTTCCCTTGTTCTCTTCTCTCTGACCCCGCTCCTCTGTATCACTAAGATACTTACATATAAGCTATGAAAAGGCCAATTTTAGGCACTTAAAGCTAGATTTAGATGAAATCAATGTTTCATTGGTAAGCAAAAAGTAAAATTATTCATATAAGCCGCTTGTAAGATTGGGCATTTTTTCCCCACTTCATCAAAGATAATTTGTTCCTAAAGAACATGTTTGTATTTGTCTTGAGCATGTAACGGTCCAAACTAATTTGAGCTATTGTATGAGTTTCCAGGAACACAGTAGCTTTTGCAATTGCTTCAAACCCCAGAATGTTTCTGGTCTATTATCATTTAATTGGTTCCCTCTATTTTATTTTTTAATTGCATATATATATATATATATATATATACACAGTAAATATATGCTTAGTCTAATCGTTATAACTAAGTTCATCAGGAACTGTAGTGATAGGACAAGGACATTCATTTGAATGTTACTTGATTCATGAACATTTGTTCGTTTGATTCATGAGCCAGATAAAGTAATTGGGAATTGCTTACTTTTGCTTTTTGTCTTTGTGTTTTGCTCGGTTTGCTAAGCTAATTTCTTGTGTGTTGTCTTGCTTCTCTGCCTTTAGCTTGAGTTACAGCACACAATAAGGTGCACAGTGGCAGCTGCTTTTTGAAAAGTTGCCATTTGGAAGGAAGCACAGAGGGTTGTCCTGCAGACCTGCACGTACACGCACAACATACGTTACGTGTGGATACGCCCTGCCTCAGGTGGGAACACAAGCAGCTGAAGGCATACAGACTTTTTGCAACACAGAAGCAGTTTTGTGAAAGATGTTTTTTTCCGAGTTTGTAAATGCTTTCTTAGATCTGGTATGTATTCTGAAGCGTTGCACAGTATGATAACAGATGAGCTCAGTTGCTTGCTGCCAAAACCCTGCAAAGAGTGAGCGGTATGCAGCCTAAGGAGGAACACTGCTCTTTTAAGACTATGCCAACCTTAATATTGTTACTAAATTATGGTTTAAATCACAAAATCATCACGGTATTGTTGAAAGGAGGTGCAAACTAGGCACACTGTACAAAAAGGGGGAGGATATGTGCAATACCTGTGAAACCATAGTGAAAAAGGAAAGTAAGAAGCTGTGGATTTCACATCTTATCAGGATATTTGCGCTGCATGATCACAGTCTCTCACCAGTCTCATAGCTGAGCCTTTTAAAAAACATACTCTGCACTTCTAACTGCTGTTCTCTCACAGCCTGTTCTGGTGCCTGAATTGGAGAGACTGTGGTGTGGTGTTGTCTCCTCAACAGCCCTTACACAGTGTGTCAAAAAGCAGTAAAGCAAAGAAACTTGGGTTTGGTGATGTGGTGAGTCTGTATTATCTTAAGCTTCTCAAGTGGAAACAGTGGCCAATGCAGTTCAGTAAAGTGATCAGAAGTAAATTTACACCATAAGTGGAATTTCTACTCTAATTAAAAAAAAAATAAAATTAAACACATGAACTTTTATACAAGTAAAGCTTGTATGCCAGGTATCATTGGTCTGCATCATTGTGGCTCTGTTCTCCCACAGCCAATATAACATGGGTGCAAATTTTGGCTCATTTAATGGAAATATGGGCATGATTGATACAGATCACATTTTTACTACTGAAAGATTCATTCATACACAGAGCTCATGCGAGTGATTGTGTGAATGCTGCTTCATAAATGAATTTAAAAGGTTTCTGACACTCTGCCTGACTTGAGGCAGCTAATTTTAAAACATCAGGAAGTTTTGCGAGGTTGTTGAGGATGGAAGTTTGTTGTGTCGCTTTATAACTAAGTTCTGTGCAAATTCAGAGGACTGTTTGCTGCTTATACAGCTTTAGTTCAGCTTTTGGTTCTACTGAGCAACTGGACAGTTTTATTTGCTGAGAGTTGGCCAAGGGGGTCTCTGTGGGAGAATGCTGATAAACCTTACTATTTTAAACCTGAGTCTCTCTCTGCTGTTTTTGAAGCACAATGTATCTCTTTCTTCTGCATATATCCTGTTGTCTTGCCTCCCCATCCCTGGTTTGGCCTGACTGCTGCAAAGGTGGCAACACTTCACATCACATGTCCTCTTTGTGATCTTTCTCATTTGCTTGGCCGTTCATTTCCCTCGGTTAAGCACTTTGAGACTGTTCAGTGACTTCCATCCTGTGCACCCTGAAAAGTCATTGTTCTTCCAGTGTCCCTGCAAGACTACATTGTTTTGGTGAGGCAGTTCAGGAGTTAAAGGCTTGTGGAGTTTCAAAGAACTGCCGGACAGCTGCTGTAAAGTATCCCTCCAAATCCTAGCTGACCTCATTCTTGTCAGACAACAGTGATAATATCCAAACACGGGTGCAAGACAGGAAGTGTTTCAGGAAGGTATGTGTTTCGTGCAAAGACATCAGAAATGTGCTTTCTCCCAGGGCCACTTACCGTAAGATCCACATTAATTTAAACGAAACAGTAAAATTCCAGAATGTGTTTACAGAAACATTATTTCAGTCCAAAAAAACCATTGCTTGTTGCTCTAGTGTGCAAATGGCAAAAGCAGATGAGTTAACCACTGTATGTATTTAATATAATGATATTGCTGGCTATATGAACCTACTTTTTAATCATATGGAGGATTCACATATCAAAACTTTTGATAGTTTTGCTTACTATTTTTAAGCAGTATCTTTGACTTGAAAAAGTGATGTGAGAGAAATACAAATCTACTTAGAACACATTTTCACATTTACTTCACACTCAAAAACTGATTTGATATCTAACAAGCTTTTCACTAATTTAATCGAGTGAATTCCTTAATAAGCAGAACAAAATCCCATTTTCCCCCCAGTGCATTCTGTGACTTAGAATTTAAAAGAATTGGATAAATGGAGCAATGTCCTCACATTCCCAGTGTAGGAAGTGTGAGAAAATCTTCTAAATTTTTGCAAAGAAATGAAGGAATGGTTTGGCTTTTGAAAGATCTAACATTTTTTACTAGTCAGTCTACCAAGTTATCTGCAAAAAGTGTCCTATATGTACAGGTTATTGTTATTTTCATAGTACTGAAAAATTCATACATGAGAAATGACTTTATATTTTATTTATATTTTTCAGTAGCACCCACTTAAAAACCTGCAAATAGAAATAATTCTTACCGGTTCAGAGATCTTTTGCTGATAGTTGGGGATATTTTCCCCTAAATTTCCTCTTAGTTGTCTCCAGAACTGTGTCTCTTATTGTATGAATCTGCAGTAAAATTCAAAAGTAAATGATTAGTTTTAGCAAACATAAGTAAATATTGCTTAAGAGATTTCTTTAGATTGCAGAGATCCTTATTTCAGAATTAACTTGATAAATTTATTAAAAATAATTTATTAAGAGTTAGAATAGATTGAGTAAAGATTCTACTATTTAAAAAGTTGCACATGAATGATATGATTAACTACAATGAAGTCTAGCAGATGCCTGTAAGAATATTAAAATAAAGCACAGCTATTTACCCTTGAATTATTGTTTCATTTAAAGGCTTGTTTCTTCTGTACTTTTTCCCTGTATTCTTCTGCAGTTTGAAAAACATTCATTTCTGTTGGTAAGGAGTGAGCAAATTCTAGCTGCTAGAACTTATACAGGTAAATTCATCTTTGGAGATTCCCGAGTTTGTGAGGCTGGGTCACTGCTCTCCAAGGGCCCTTTGAAAAGCTCAGCCCACAGCCAGGGAGCTGCGGGATGTTGAATGGTCTACTGGCAAAGGTTGGTCTTTTTTACAGAGGTGTGACCAAGTTGTTCAGGTGAGGTGCACAAGGAGATAAAGGCAGGATACTGGAAGGAGGACCTGAGTGAAACTGAACTCAGCCCTGCTACATGCAGAGGAATGGAACGAGCATGATCTGTGTTTTTAGATGATGATCCAAGGATGTAACAGAAAAGAAAGGGAAGGGATTATTTGGATGCAGCAAGGCATATTTTTGTTATTTGCTGGTAGCAACTCATTTAATATACACACACAGTTGTTTCAGACTGAATTATATTTTATATTTGTCTGCTGTTTCTGGAAGTTATTGCCAAGAGTGAAAAACCGCATAATATATTGCTAGTATTAAACCAACTATTACTGATGGATAATGACAGAGTAGAGGGAGAAGGCACCAGTTAGTCTGGGTTAGCTCATGTGTTCTGGATAACTCTTTCTTGAACTCTTAGATTTCTAAAGTTCTATTAGGCTATGTTGCTTTTTGGATGTGTATAATTGTCTCTGTGTCAATGTCAGGTAATCTCAAGTACTCCCATGATAATCTTTCTTGTGTTTTTTCAGTTAATGTGCCATTTGGTCACTTTTCTATTGGCTATTTTAGTATGATAACAAACACCACAAAGGCTCCAATAATGCTCCGTAACAAAAGAAGCATGTTTGAGTTTTTAAAAGTACAGATGCCCCGCATTGTGACTTATATTTTACTTGTCTTTGTGTTTTAATGTTACAGGCACCAAATTTTGGATCTGTAGTGGCTTTCTTATTTAAGTTCCAAATTCTTGACAGTGAAGCATGGAATTCAGTGTCTGAAGTCAAAAAGGGCTAACCTTTTGAGAAACTTTATTTAATTACTGGACAGTTACCAACTCAGGAGGGAGATTAAACCAGAATCCTGTTTTACTAACTGTTGGTTAAAACCAAAAAAATATTCTGTAAAATGCAGTGTAAACATACACCTTATGAAATCATCTAGCGATCCAAGATATGAGAAAGTATGTTGATCCATCAGTCTGTCTCCTTGGTTTTTCAGGGAGATTTATCATGAGGCATTTAATTAAATTGTTTTCATGTATTAATGATGTTAAAAATGTGTTATTTAAGGGATTTTTTTTTTCTTCACAGTATATTGGGTTGGTTTTGACCAGTATAATAAGATGTACATAAGGAAATTCTCTGCTTCTGCTTCAAAAGAAGGGAAAAAAATTTTTTTCCTGATTTTCAATATAGCACAATAAGATGCTTTCTGGTCCTTTCTTGTCTTTAGTCAGAGAAGGAGGTAGTAAGAAAATACCAGATGTGAATTTGGTGCACCTGTCAAGACCCCAGTGACTTGTCCAATATGTTAAATCCTCAAGGAAATGAGGATGGGCTCTCAGGGATTTCTTGCTAGAATTCAGTCCTCCAAGCCCTCCATGCTGAGAGAAAGGAAGCTTTTAAATAGCTTTTACATATCACTGAAAGTCATTCTACATAGCTTTCACAAATACTGAAGTCATACTAAGATAGTGTAACACTTTTTGACACATTGTCATAGTACTTTTTTTAAGAACCAAATAGAGCTTTACTATTTTGAGTCACTCCTTGAGTAATGGTTTGCAGCAAGTGTAATTTTGGGGCTTTCTGTTGCTTTTCTGGCAACTGTAGAGAGGTCTGTTCCATGTCTCACCCATGCCCAAAATGTGGTGGGTTTCTTTTCTGTTCAGTTCATAATTTCTGCCAGTTCTGTGACTGTCCCTTTTTGATCTCAATGTATTCTGGCCTTTCTCCTTCATCTTTATGCATCCAGCTAAAATACCTCTCCATCAAATGTATAGAGGAATTTGGCACTTGTCTTGGTATTCTGAAAGAAACTAAAACCAGGCTGTTGTGACTGTCCCCTTCAAGGGCTCTTCCATAGTGCACAAGGAACATCAAGGAATATGATGCCTTACTGTTTAGAGAGCTCTGTTTGTAAATCTGTGGATTTTTTAGTGAAAAGAGTAGGACTTTTGATTTTGTGGGTTTTTTTAAATCCAAGGAACTGAGATTTTTGTTCAATTCATGTTTTAACCTTTGTGTTACTGAGCTGTTTAAGGCTGATAATTGAGATAAGGCCTGGCATGGATGGGTTAAAGGTATCAATTTTGTGAGTAGTTACATGTGAATGTAGTAATACTCAAAATCACAACGTACTGCTCTCTCTTGCATACTTGAAATTATGCCTACATATACATTAATAAAAAAGCAGAAAAATTGAAGTATATAGGGTGCATGAAAGTCCTGGTTCCAAAGGTAGGCAGTATTTTGAAGGAGGAATGCTGTAGTTTAGGATAGTTAGACATGCCTTCCCTTGAATGAATGGGATAAAATACCTAAGTCACTCCAGTGCTGTCCCCTCTCTCCACATTTCTTACCTGTAGGTGTGCTCTTTGAGCAGTAGTTGTATAAACTCTCTTGACCAGCATTTTCTTACCAAAGTTTTACAATCACTTTAAGAAAACTATTTGCATTGCACCAGTGGCAGTTTGGTAGGAGTTGTTTGTGCTCTGCTCTGACTTGCTGCCCTTCTTTCAGAGGGTACAGTTTGATGCTTCTGAGCCTGTTTCTGCTCTGCTAAAAGGGGATACCTGTTTTGGTAAGGTGCCCTTCTGACTGAGAGGTGAAAGACCAGATAGAGCCTTCTTTTTAATGATCTCAAGAGAACTTGAATACAAACTGCATGAAGGCCTGCAGTCTCTGAAGGAGATTTGCTGGGATTTGATTCTGCCTCTGAGTCATTTCAGCCTGGTTTTTGACCCATTAATACACCCTTGTCACACTCTTGCTGTTGCCTTTTGTTATAGTCATTACATTTTTCTGGTGTGTCTGCAGCCATTGTCTGTTTTGTGTCTTTGATTTTGTTTTCCTTTACTAGGCATGGATTTTTAAATTGGCAAGAAGATATCAAATTCAGTTCCCACCACCAGAAAACTCTGTGCATTTGCATGGGGCGTATAACAGACATGCAAACTCCATTGCATGTTCCTTTTGGGAAACTGCAGCTTCCTGGGGGAGGACTCTCACTACAGTAGGTGTGCAGGCTGAGTGGGCTGTGAGTGTTCCTCCTCCTTGCCTTTCTACAGCCTGTACTGACAAAGTCCACGTGCATGTTACTTCCAAGGCTTGAGTTAATTTTTGAGACTCTTTTTTAGATGTGGACATGGAAGGAGGCAGTGGCACAAAGGAAGATATAGGAAAGGCCTCTAAGGACCCAGATGTGTCCTCAAAACTGTGGAAAGCTCTTGTCACCCTTTAGTATGTGTTAAAGGCACACACAGGCTCACCCCATGTGACAGATACCTTATATGTTTGAAAGAGTTTCTTGGCTTTCTGCCGAATGTGTGTGGGCCATTTGGAGCAGACAGCTTTTTCAGAGGGGACAAAGGTCAGTTTAAAATTTTTAGGTGTACTATGTAATGCAAGCTATTGGCAGATTTGAAAGATACTCTTGAAGACTTTGTCAAGGAAGAGACCTTTTTTCCAAGAGAAAGTTTTGGGTGCAGAGTGGAAAGAGGAATATTTGCTAGATATGTATGAAATGTATTTGTTTTGAAAGCCACCATTAGATCAGGTGTAAACTGTGAGCCTGGTTTATACTCCTCAGGGCAGGGGAAGATGGAATCTGTTGTTTATCCCAGTGCAGGTTTTCCCCAGGGTGTTCACATACGCTATAGAATATTCATTAATCTATTGGCATTTTGTCTCTAAATCTCTTCTTTGGTTTCAGTTCTTAAATTAAAAAAGACAAGCTAGACACCCCCACTCCTCCCAAAATAAAACTAAATTGTTAAACTGTCCTTAACACCTTTGCTGAATGCAGCACAAACAGCTCTCTCTTACCAACCTCCTGTTTTCTGGCAAACCCTGTTCATCGATGTAGGCATTCTTCTGAGAGATTTTTCGCTGTTGCCCACATACTCTTTAGCTGACCTTCAAAAAAACTGATGAGAAAGGGAATAGTTTTAAGGCAGATTACTGCCTAGTTGAGATATGGGGTTATTAGTGTTTTTCTACGTATGACATTGAACAACTATCAGGGACAAAACAGCCTTTTGCTTCTCTCAAGTCAATGTTGACTTTAGAGCAAGAAGCCAGAAAAGGGACATGTCATTTACATAAGTTGAGCAAACATTCAAAACATCTTGATTCAATTTTAAGGAGAGATTTAGGCCTACTGTCATGGCATGATGAAGATACTTTCCAAACTGGTGTCAGAAGATAAATGCATTTTCCTTGCTTTTTTGCATTCTTTGTTATTTTGATACATTGTCTTAACATTGGAGGTATACAGTTGGTCCTATTTTGTATGTTATTTTTAATATTGAGAAAAGGATGCCATTATTAATGATTAAGAACAAAATGATCAGATGTTTTTATCTAAATATGTCACTTCAGTTATCAGTAGCTCACGTACAGCCATTGTAGTGGGTCAAAGACAAAGGAGATTTCAATTTCTAGAGCTTTGCTTTAAGACAGA